AGCCAGCAGGGAAGTGCTGAGTGTGCTGTGCTGGAGTCTGGGCATGGGCTTTGGGAATTCCATGAAATCTGCTCCACGTGAGGCACTCTCCAGTTCATTTTGAGTTTATCAGAGCAATTCTTACACTTACCAGGAAGTCTGGGCAGTGGCTTTATCAGTGCAAACTTTGCCCAATCTTTAGGTGCTACCAGGCTGAATTTAAATGTCTCCAGCACTCAATAATATTGACAGATTAAATCTGACTCTCCTTTTTCTGAGAAAGGTTTTGTCAGTGCCATTCCTCCTGTTAGACCTTTTCTCAGGACAGAGGTGGTATGTTTAGAGTGAGTTTTGTTTAGGTTGATTTTTGTCCCTTTGCTTGAAATTTAAACATTCTCTGAAATACTTTCTTAAAAAATAAAAAAAAAGTAACAAAGACTTATCCTGACTCCTTTTGTTTTTAGGTGACATTTAAGTTGAAGATGGGCGGTGGAGAAAGATACAACATTCCCGTTCCCCAGTCTAGAAACACCACCAAGAACCATCAGCAACTTAAAAACAGGCAGAAGAGCAAAGACCCCAACTCTCAGATGAAAACCTACGTGAAGAAGGAAAGAGGCCACGGCTGCAGCTCCTCTCCTGGTGCATGGCAGGCCATGCAGAAAGGGGGGAAGAACAACGTTCACTTCCCCAAGAACCCCAACTGGAACCCTGCTCTGTCCAATCACAACCTGTTGTTCACCCCTCAGAGCAACCAGAACTATGCTGGAGCCAAGTTCAGCGAGCCACCCTCCCCAAGTGTTCTGCCTAAGCCACCAAGCCACTGGGTACCTGTTTCTTTTAAACCTTCTGATAAGGAAATAATGACATTTCAGCTCAAAACCTTACTGAAAGTCCAGGCCTGAGGTGTGACTGGTGTGATTTCAGAAGCAATTTCGACGGTCAGGGTTTCAGATTTGAGCATTGCTATTCCAAACTCCAGGTGTGCCAGGACCAGGTGTTCTTGCTGCATGTAGTTAGTCACTTGGAGAGGGGTGAAAGTTTACATTCCCCTCATCTTTTACCTCAAAAGTTCAGTGCTGTGTTCACCTCACTGTGAAATAGATATTTTCTTGTAAATCAATCAAATCCTGAGCAGTCACCATTTACTGTATTTTAAGAATAAATGGGACTGTGTGCCAAAATTGGAATTGTGGCTTTGAATTGTTAGAAAACCACCTTTTACCTAACTTAATGCAGCATGAACTGAAAACAAAAACGCACTGAGAACTTTAGTCAGGTTATTTGCTGCTTTTCAGGCTGGTGTGAGATTTGCTGAGCACTCTGCAGAGCAGAAACCTCCACCTGGGCACACAGGGAGGCACAGCTGATTCCCTCCCTGCCCTGTGAGCTTTAGTGGCACTCCTGCAGAGGTGGGTGAGCGTTTCAAGCCCGGACTCCCAGCTGGAATGTTCTGGAAGAACTCCTCGGGCAGACCCAGCTGTGCTTCCCAGGAATCTCCAAGAGTGCCAGCTAAAGACCTTGCATTGCCAGGTGACTGCCAAAAAAGCTCCCCCAAATGCTTTGTGTGCCCACGGCACTGAGGAGTTCTAAACCACATTTTTGTATCAGTTTTTATAAAAAAAAAAAGGTGGAGTAGTTCCTTAGTTTGGTCTTAAATTGGTTCCCCTGTAACAATTAATAGTTTGGGGCAGGTGTTAGATGTTCTCACAGGGAAGACAGAGCCATGTAAATACATGTAAAACATTGTAGCATATGTAAATTTCTGCTGGGCTTTCCTGCACAGAAGTATTTTTAGTACAAAACTGCTGAATGTAAGATGACCATGTTGAGTACGTGGCCTGGTTTAAAAAAAATGATATTTTGTTTTAAAAAAAAATTAACAAAAAAAAAAAGACATTTGTGGCTGTGCCCTTGCACTTCACATGCAATGAATATGCACATTGTATTTGGTTCTAATCTCATTTTTTGAAGTAAAATCAGTGCAAAAAATGCTTATTTAGATTTTTTTAAATTAAAGAAAAAAAATTTAAAAAAAAAAAAAAAGCTGCTGGAGTTTCAGATCCGAGATCCTCCTGTTGTGAATGTGTAGGAGAGGAGTGTGTTCAGTGATGAAAAAACACTGAAATGTTCCAAATCAAGTGTTTCACAAGAGTTGCAAATGCCTGGGTTCAGGTGCTTGGTAAATTGAAGGATTGTAATCATTCTGTGTTTCTGAAATGCATCAATGCTCTGTAAAACAACATTTTGTCCCATCTTTGCTCAAACCCCTGGGCAGAGGGTCAGGGCAGGTGGCTCCTGTGCTGTCCCCCTCCAGCTGATCCTGCTGCAGGGGGACACCAGGAGCAGCCAGGCTGCTTTCAAAAGACAAGGATTACAAAAAAAAAGTGCTTTAATTTGAACAGGCCTTTTGCAGCTTGTGAAATGTTTGGAGGTGTCGTTCTGTACATTCCAAATGCAGTGGCAGCTGAGCTGAATGTTTACAAAATTATTGCTCTAAATCACATGGAATTGGCAGTCTCTAAACTTGTGTTGTGACCTGGACCTTCACCAGAGTCTGTATCCCAGTTAATTATCTATTCTCCACTTCAAATTGTCAAGTACTGATGATGTTTGTACAAATTGGAAACAAAACATTTAAATAAACTTTTTTTTTTACCCCCTAAAAGTATCTCTTTGTTTTCAGATGGAAATGGAAAAGTGGGATGACCTCCTGTTGGCAGTTCCCTTCTGGAGGGAGGTTTCTTTAGCTGCAGCATTCTCCTTCATGCCTTTCCAGTGGTTAGGGAACACAGGGCTGGAGAATTAACACTAATTAATGTTCCTGACAAAACCAAAAGCTTGGGGCTCCGTCTCCCACACACTACAGCTGGATTAATTAAGTCAGAAGGTGCTCTCGAGTTATAGTCAAAACTTGTACATTTTATTCCCAATTCACAGGGTTATTTGCACAGATGGAACACAAAACTCAGGAAGAAAGGATGGGGGTGAATAAAAACATCAGCATCTCCGATCAAACACACTACAGGGTACAGAGTCTTCCCTTCCTACAATAGTCTCAGCAGCAAGAGCATCTTTAGACAAATATTATAGCAATGGGCTACAGACTTTTTTAAGCAAGTTACAAGATAAATGGAGAAAACCAGCAATTCTTAATGGGCGATCATGGCCTAGAAATGTGTCAATTTTATCCCTCTGTAGGTCAGAACGTTCATCTGCCCGTCCCTGGCACGGCCCCAGCAGCAGTGCCCCTCTCTGAGCACAGCCCAGCTGGCACCAGACTCAGCAGGCAGCAAAAAAAGCTCTGTCCAAGCAGAGAGCTCCAAACAACATTAAAACCAAAAGATTCCACTTGGAGTAAAACCATGATACTGTACATTAAACATCTTGATAAGACATAGAAAGGATAACATTGAGCTTCCAGAGACCAGTCTATCAGAGTCCCTAATTAAACACCCAGCTACTTAAGCACTAAATTGAAGATTTTTAATTACCAGTTGGGTGCATGGACTTTAGGTGAAAAAGAAGTTCCAATAGAGCCTTCTATGACTGCTGACACCAATCGATTCGCTGCAGATATTTTGGAGCACAGCCATGAATTTCAGCAGAGGTTTGTTTTTACACACTACTTCAATTCTACAAATTTTGCAGGAATGACAAAATCTAGATTTACCACAGAAAAACGTAATTCCCACCGTTCTTGAGACTCCAAAAGAAAGAGATCTAGACATGATCTTTTGTAGCCTGCAAAGTTCTTGCATTCCAGCTGTGCATAACCTGCAGGAAGCTTGCACAAGACAGGCTCCTGCTTTTTTTAGGGCAGGACTGGGATACCTGCATCAAGGAAGGGAGATGTTATCTAGATGGGCTGTGGCTTGATTTGCATGAATGCATAAACATTCCCTGCCCTTTTGGCCACATCCTGCTAACTCGTCCCCAACTGAAAGGCCCACAGAACAGCTTCTTCACAATTTTTCCATGGGAGCAAGAACTAGGACAACATCTTTATTCATGCACTCTTGAAACATCGTGGGTTTGTGTTCGGCTTTTCTGGCTTGTTCATATACACAAGTCAAGTCAAAGTTTAGTCCTACCTCTGGGAGAGAAAGAAAGAACCATCAGAACTGGCAGACACTACATTATACTTGCAATGATCTGGCTTTTCAAACAAAAATTAAACGGTGCTATACATAAATGCTGAGGCACACAATATAAGGACATGCTGACACAACAGTTACGGAACAGTTACTGTTACTCTGCCTGGACACGGAGATTTCTCCTCCCTCCTCCCACCCTTGCAGCTCCAGTTCCAAGCACAGCAACCCCTGCAGGCCTGGCAGGCACGGCCACGCTCTCCCCAGCACTCAGTCACCAGGACCCCTCTCAAGCAGCAGTTAGTCATGTAGACTATATTTATATACATAAATAAATCTGAAAAGAGTGGGGGTCTCTGCTGCTAGAAGCAGAATTAATCACAGCTCGACTCATAAAGGATGACAGTGGGTTTATGAAAGCAATTCTGTGCTTTACAGAGGATTTTTGTCTTTCAGGGCAGAACCTTCTGCTGGGCACACACCAGTGCCAGGAGGCAGCTCCATCCCTGCTGCCACCTCCCACAGAACCACTGCTGGCACCAGTTTGGTTATGGCAATTACAAATTGTTATGGTGATACTGTAATTTTGCTTCTGTATGAACCTTCAGTCATTGCTTTTAAGTAGTTTCATAACTTGGCTAATAATATCTGAATCATAACCTATGGGGCAAGTCCATCCAGCAATAATGAAAGTTAATGGCAAAGAAAATTCAATATGTTAGAGTACAACTTATGCTTAGTGTTCTCAGTTTGTCTTGTACCCCTTCAAAAATGTGAAGTGACATTTATTCAGACACTAAATGAAAAATTCCTGCCTTTACTGAAATACCATAGTAAGGATTTCACTCCATAAGGGATGCATAGCTCTACTCCTAACCATGCTCTGGAGTCAAATTCTAATGCTACAATAATTCCAGTGGATCAGTATTTCCTTCATTTTTTTATTACAGCATGTTTGCTAAATTTACAGCAAGCAGAAAATAAGCTGGGTCTTTAGTTATTTTGATCAAAACATCGATGTTTTAAAGGTAGTACACAATATTTGTTAAAAAGAACATATAAAAATACCTTTTTAGAAGCCTCTATAAGAAAGGAAATACAAAGTTTAATCCCACAACTTTCCTCTGCTAGAGCTGCACGCTACTGCTACAGTTTTTAAATAGACTTTTTGCTGTTTTTAAACTATACATCCAGGAAAGTCTACAAAATTAAAGGAACGTGCATATAAATGATTGCATAGCAGAACATGAACATTAACTGCAAACAGTAAAGAAAAAGTCAGAAATACTATTAAATGTACAAAGGTTCTAGGATAACTCCTAAGCACGTTCCACTGCCGAGATCCCAAAGCCATCTTTAAAGGCCCTGCTGGAACACTAACCCAAACCCTAAAACATTTCTCTGAAAAGGAACTTTTGGAAATCAATGTCTTTATATGCTTCAGACATCAGACAGTGAGGAACACTTAAGTGTTTGATGGTGGCTTTTGAAAGTAAGTAGAAAAAAAAAACAATGCCAAAAGCCATTTCCATAACAAAGGAACTTGCCTTCTAGAGAAATACCGGTAGGAGTACACACTGGGTTTGTTATTTTTCACGTTCAATTTTCTAAATATACTGTATTAGTGATAAACTACATAACTAGAGATGCAGCTCTTGTTCATATCCAACTTCAAACATTTGTTCTGAAGGAAAATGAAATCTTGTAGCCAAACCACTATCCATTCTGAGGAAGGAGTGATTCAGACTTGCTTGACCAACTGCTTTTTTGCTGTGTAAAAAGCAAGCAAGCCTGGTAACCCAGGGAGATGGCTACAGTTTGATACCTATGAATACACCAACTAACCACAGGAGTCATTGGCATAAAAGTTTAGTTCTTATATACTGTACACACACAACTCGAAACGATCTACTTGTATCTAACAGCAGCAAAACTAAGCAACTTTAAGGTTAACTGCTCACTAAAATTGAGAATAGATACAAAAAACTGCATAAAATGTACACACAACCTAATATTTAGTTGCTCTGCCGTTTGCTGAAATCTGAATTTAGGTTTTCCATTGCAAGGTGGGTTTTCCCCTCACATCCAGCAGCAGCAGCCAGGGCAGAGGCAGTGAAGCCTCCATCCCGAGGGGTCACAACACTGCACAGGCTCTGAGCAGCTCCAAGAGCAGCTCTCTGCCCATGGCGTGCATGCAAGGTTAGTACCATCTCTCCAGACAGCAGGCTAAAGAGAAATCTCCCCCATCTCCCTCCACAGAGCTCCTTGTGCCACCCTGCTGGTGCTGGTGGGCACGGAGAACACTGAAACCTGCCCTGGAGCCATGGAAACAAACTGCCAGGCTGATTTCCCAGCAGCCAGTGTTGCACTACAGCTGTCCAGTTTTCCTTTTCCTCACAAAGTTTACAGAGTTGAAGAACCAGTTAAACAGCTGGTTTAGCTGCCCAGCACAAACTGGTACCAATTTCTCTATGGGTGTGACATTTGTAAAAGGACAATGTTGCAAGTTACGATCAACCAAGTCATCACCAAATATCTAAGCATTAAAAATGCAAATCTTTACAAAAATATACATAGAGACACCACAACCAAATCAGTAGCTGCCCATGACATTTAACCAAGTGGACAAACTCTCTCCCTCTCCCTCTCTCTCTCTGTGGCTTCTCAACACTGTTTTAATTTCAACCATTGTCGGCTACAGGGAAAACTGACAAAGAAAATATTTTTTAGCACTGTTGCAACATCATATTCCTGATAATTTAAGTAAACTGAACTGTGTGTAAATGAATCTTACATGCCTAAACCAACATGGATACACTGTTAGTGGCCACTGGACTTGGGACTAGTCCAAGACCTCGATCTGGATTTTGACCTAGATCTAGAATGTGATCTTGACTGTGATTTGGATCTAGCTGGTTCTTTTTTTCTCGACTCCTTCTCATATCTTGAGCTGGACTTATAGTGTGTTTTAGAATCTGTTTTAGAGGTGCCTCTAGATTTGGTGTGAGATGCAGACCTAGACCGTGATTTAGCCTTCATTTCTTTCTTGGGCTGTGACTTGGATCGTGATCTTGAATTGGACTTAGATCTTGAAAAAGATCGATTGCGGTGTTTGAACCTATCAGAATAAAGGGGAGAGAGGAGATTTGAATGTAAAAACACTATTCTCACACATCTAGCACATTAAAAATTGTTTACCGTTTTTGCAGGAGAAACTTTTTTTTAAACCTATAGTTAAAGGAATACAGTGATCTAGCTTGCAATTGAAAGGGTGTAAAAAGTGGTTTTTACCTATCATTGTCCGAATGGCTTCTGCTACGACGAGGTCTTCCAGTAGGTCTACTGCTAAAAAGGTACATCAGAAAAAGTAAACGGTGACAGATACCTACGTCAACGTACAAACACTTAACACATTCTACTTTCAAGCTGTGCATTTCTTTTAGTTATTCTCCAAAGCAGCACAGAACCCTTTCATTCACTATTCCTGATCAGACGCAGCATGCAAGGTACGCAACTCCCAGCGGTTACTCCCACGACAGAAAAAAAAAGATTATTGCAAACTGAAACAATTAAACAGTGGGCGTGGTGTGTCTGTGCCGTGCAGCTGAGGCCAGCCCCACACACTACACTTACTTTCTGGGACTATAGGATCTTCTATAGCTGTAATCAAAGGAGCGACTCCTGGACCGCCTGCGCTCGTAGCTGCGACTCCTGGAGCGCCTGTATCTGTCATAGTCATCGTAACGAGAAGAACTGTACAGGTTTCTCCCTTCCTTGGCTTTCATTTGGTTTGGTGCTGTAAAAATAGCAATATTGCAGGTGAAGATGATGCCCTACTTTTTCCCCTCAAGGTTTAAGCCATGCATTTGGTGTTGAGCAGAAAGGTTCATTTGTGATTTGATGTTTATGAAGGGACAGGGAGAGGCTGCTCTGTGCCATTTGTTTTGTGCTGCTTGAGCCACTGGACACACACTAATGCAGCCTTGGGGGCACTGTAAATCTGGAAAGCAAAACAAACAAAAAAACCCCTCAAAACCAGTCAGAAAGGACTAATGCTCCATAAAACCAGAACACAGAGCTGGCCAAGGTGATTTCAGGCCAGCTGGAAACTGGTACAGCAGGTCAGAGCCATGACTGACACATTCTGACATTCCTGAATTTACCCAGTGAGTGAAAGCTAATGAAACACTTTCTCCTGACTGCACAGCACCATCATCACACCTGATCCACAGCTGTCTTTAATGATTAAAGGCCCAGCTTATCCAAAGGCTTTGGTGGATGCCACACAAAGGGAAGTATGATTCCAAAAGGAACCCCTAGTGAAACAATTCACTTTCACTCTGCAGCTTAGTTATTAAAGTAATTAACAATGAATGAACCTATTAGTCTTCCACTGTATTTCCTCTAAGCACCATAGCTATCCTTCCTTTGTATCAAATTCAAACCTAAAGACCATGCTCTAAGTATTTTAAGCACATTGTAACAAACATCCTCTGTACTAAACTGCTTCAAATTTTAAATTTTTAGTGCTGCTTACAATACACTAAGGTGGATTCAGTTAATTTTGCCCAGAAACTCGTTAGAAACCCCAATGTTTATACACACGGCAGAAAGTTGTCCTTTGGAGTGAAGAATTTCCCTTGACTCCATTAGAGTTAATTGTGAGGACCTGAGGGAGAACTGGACTGTTGTTTCTCTGAGAGCTGTGACTAAAGACCTTTGAGGTCTTTTTATTCCCAGGCATCACATGAGTATTAGAGTCCTGGTTTAGACCAACAGGGCTGGGCCAGGTTTTACAAATCTGTATGTCCCTGCAACACAAACAACAGATTTAAAACATCTACATTCTCTTTACACTTATCTGTTCAGAAAATACAACTTCTGCTCCACCTTGAATTGAGATAACTTGAAACTGACTTTTATCCTGAAGCCAAATGAAAATGAAGACATCACCTCAATCCTACAGAGCTGCACGGAAAGCTCCAAAGAATGACTGTGTGCTGTACTTATCCATTTGTAATTAAACGAGTCATTAACAGTCAGGGGATGAAAGGCAGGGCACCCATGTGCTATTTACACACAATAAGAACACATCACAACAATTGGCAGCACGTGCAGGGTGCTCAACCCAGGTGAGATAAATCAGCACTTACTCTTGCGGTCCCCCTGTGCAAACTGGATTTCTATTTGCCGACCACAAATCCACTTCCGATCCAAGTTGTGGAGAGCATCTTCTGCATCACGGACATCTTCAAATGTGGCCAGTGTTAAGGTACTTGGCAATTTGAGCAGTTTAACACATTTGGTATTTAAAACAAAAATTTGCAAGTTATTTTCTCATTTTACAGCCACGTTTTAAGTCTTTTTTGTCATGCTACTCTACACACTAGTGTTTTTTTTAAATTAACCACCAGCTATCTGAGAAGTCCTGTTATAAAATTCAAATCTTGTAATATGACCATGAATTTATCCATCAGCAAGCACTTGCTATGTGATACTCTTAATTTTTTTTCTTCTCCCACTTGTACTTATGCAAAGAAAACAAAGGTACCCTTTCAAAACACACTTGTTAATGGTCATTTAGTTCTCTCCACTACATTGAGGTTATTAAAATTAAGCCCTAGTTCTTAAGTTATGTTGGGCATACCAACAGTAAATATTAACTTTGGAATTGGAATAAAGCTCTCCTTTTTGTTTTCAACAACTGATTTTAGGTTTAAGTGATGTCAGGTCACAGCCCTGTGTGCAGAGTGTCCCCAGTGTGAGAGAGAGCAGACACTGGGAGCCCTGCACTGCCACCCAGGGCCGAGGTACAGTGACAGACATTTGTTTAATGCTGGAATTTACACCCCTAATTCCAGCTCGTGGGACCCAGAACAATGAGCTGCCTTTCCCCTCCAGGCTGCTCATTCCTCAGCAGGAGAGAAACTTCCATTTCATTCAGACCACAGTTACAGTAGCACTCCCAAGAGAAATATTACAGGTTTTGTCAATGGACTAAACCAGAATAATTCATCAAATTACTGCTTACATGACAGACAGAAGAAAAACTGTTATTCTGTAGGATACATCAGGTATGACTCCTTTAATCTTGGCCACCATTCAACTTCATCTTGACCTTTAACTCTTTAAGTGCTTGTCAGAAGGACTTGTCATGAGATGCTTGGCCAAAAATGACAGATGGCTTTATCTTTAACTTTGAAAAACAACCTTTTCCCCCTTTTGTAGATAAAGCGAAGCTTTGTCTCCCATTATGGCTTGTCCTTCTTCCAGCTTTTCTTTATTTTTTCTTTTCCCAAACTCTCCCTTCTCTTCAAGCCTGATCCTTAAGAGGTCTTTGGCTTGTCTACTTGCCTTAATTGTTGAACTCTACTCTAAAGGTTCTTTCATGCTTTCTCTTTGGGGTCGCCATTACTGTACAGCTTTACATTCTGAGGCAACAACAGAGGACAGCAAATTAGGGGACAATATTAAAGAAAGAAGTTCACCTCATTTTTTACACAATCTGATTTTGATCAAGTGATTCCAGTTTCAATTGGTTAAATTAACAATGAATAGCAGCCACATTTTGCTAAGCACAACTTTACTTACACACCAGTAATAAAAACGTGCTAGACAATTTTGAGTCAGTGACAAATTTTCATTTAAATCATATAATATTAATTTCAGTGACATAAGCAAGCTTTTGTATTACTGGACTTAAGTTTTGCAAAAAAAAGCAAAGAACAATTGAGAGAAGTTAATCTTCAAAAATAACGAAACACCATGACATAATTAAGACACTTATGAATACAACACAAAAGTAAACCGCTTTTTCATTTAGATTGGTTACCTCTTACACAAACTTGAATCTCAAACTCCAACACCCCTCACTAATGAGCCATCTGAAGAAAGGATATTGAACATAGGCAAATCCTCGGGGACGGCGGGTGTAGAAGTCGAGAGGAACGTAAACATCAACTATGGGCCCATACCGACCGAACTCCCGGCGCAAGTCTTCGGACCTGCAACACCAAACACTGCTATGGCTGTGGCACCCCCCAGAAGGAACCAAACAGGCAGAAAATCAAATCTACAGTTCATATCTGCACCCCTGGTTTGGGGAAGCATTTGGTGGAGGAGGAAAGTAGCATTTCTGGGGGGAAAAGGGTTTGGGCAGGTCCCTGCTGGCAGCACACGGAGCTGTTCTGGAACACTCAGGTCTCAGGATGCTCAAGCACACCCTGGCAGTCTGAAACCAGCCTTCAGCACGGCCCCAAAATACAAATGTACACTGAGAAGTGATGCAGAGCAGTTCATCCAATGCAGAAAGTGAAAGGAAGGATTGTTAAATGATCGTTGTTGTTATTCAAGTACCTCGACAGTGATTTTGCAACACACAAACATCAATTACGAGATCCAAATAAACATTCTGAGACCAAACCAGTCACCCAAACTCATTTCCATAGAATAATCAATACTCACAACCACATCAAACAGAACAGATCTCAGCGAGCAGCCACTCATGCCCTCGGGATAGTTTTTCCAAAGAGTTGGCTTTAGAGAGCTGAGACAAAACTGCTCAGCTGCAGCCAGCCCTGCAACAACAGCCCCTCCTCAGCAGAGGCTTCTTATTCACATCAGCTCCTCACATTTCATTTGAGGACAAAAACCTGCATGGGATTGATGCAGTACCATGTTTAGGTGGTGTGTGAGAGTTACTACTGGTCTTTAGTATTATTTCCTTTCTCTTGCACCAGTTGGGAAATAAATCTCCACAGGCAGTGCTGGCAGAAGGGAACTGCCACCAGCATGGAGATCTCACAATGAAACCACCTCCAAGAACTCTGTGCTTAAGGTGAATCCTCAGCAGGACCCACGTTACTGTAAAGAATTTGGAAGTAATCATCCTCAGCTGTTCTTAAAGTAAAATAAACTACTGGAAAACTGAACAAATTCATGGGAAAAAAAGTAAAGATTTTAATTTCATTCCATTCCATCCTGTCCACGGCATGATGTGTGAATGTTCCACAGATGATAACAAACACCAAAGGTGGTTTTGGTCACCAAATTGCCCAGGTGAAATGAGGAAAGCCAGCAGCTCACTAAAAGCATACGAGGAATAAATAAGAACCTGTGCAAGGCTCTGTTTTTGTTGTTCCAATTCCCTACGAGAAGTTCTCTCACCGCACACGTTTAGTCCTTAGGGGCTCTTATAACGGAGACCAAGCATTGCTTCCCTCGATTTCGGAGCAGAGAGACCCCGGCACACACCAACCACGGCAGAACACTCCACCTGCACCGCCAGCAGCTAACGGCACCGGCCGCGCCAGGAATTTCGGGCACAAACGCTCTGTTTCCACCCATCCAGCAGCAACGCTGCATTTCCAGAGGAGCATCCCGAAGCGCGGCGGCTGCCCAGCATCGCCCCGCTGGACGCGCCCCAAGGCGGCCGCGGGCAGTTTCACTTTGTCGCGGCCCAGCTTTGTTCCGCCTGGACGCTGTTTGGAAACGAACCCGCGTGGAGGGGCGGGCGGCGAGCAGCACCGCGAGGAAAATGGCAGGCAGGGCAGGGAGAAGGGAGAAGCGGAGGGCGGAGCGGGGCGGGCTCGCCCCCGTTCCCCGGCGGCGGGGGGACCCCCGCGCCCGCGGCCTAGCCAGCCCGCCACAGCCCGCGCGAGCCCCCGCTCCGCCCCCACTCACCGGGTGTCGTCGGCCACGTTCCGCACGAAGAGCGAGGTGTTGGGGGGCCGCAGGTAGCGGGACATGTCGGCGGCGCCGGGACGGGCGGCAGGAGGAGAGGAAGGAGGGAAAGAAGGAAGGAGGGAGGGAAGGAGCGAGCGCGGCCCGGGCGCGGCGGGAGCGGCTGAGGCGACCCTGGGGGAGCTGCACCGCCCGCCCGCGCGCCGCCTCTCGCGAGACTTCCCAGGGGCGCGCGGGGGGGGCGGGGGCTTCCGGCGAGAGCGAAACGCGGCGCCAAAACCCTGCCGGCCTTCGGCGGCGCGCATGCGCCCCGGCGCCGCGCGGGAGCTCGCGGGCCCGCCGGCGCGCGCCGCGCATGCGCAATGCTAACCCCGCGCGCTTCCCGCTGGCGGGGCCTCGCTTTTCCCGCCGAAAGGGAGGGAAGGGGGAGCGCGCGGGGCAAGATGGCGGCCGCGCCCCCGCCGTGAGGGGAGAGCGCGGCCCGGCCCTGTGCGGCCGCCTCGCAGCGCCGTGGCTGCCTCCCGTGCAGCCCACCCACACGGCCCCGGGCTGCAACGCCCTTCCTGAGGCTCAAGGGATCGCTGTGCCCTGGCCTTGCTGTTGCAAAATGCGCAGTATGTGTCAAGAAAAGATGTTCTTGGGTTTTGACGTTTTTAGGCTTTCAAGCCTGATCAGCAAGAAGGGAGATGTAAGCCCTGAAGCGGCAGCCAACGGGCTCTAAGTGTGTTGGAATAACAGATTGGTAGAACTGCCTTATTGAGTTTTAAGGCTAGACATGCTTTGATGAGCTCAGACCTAGGGGGAGGTTAACAAAGCTTGAGAAAAAAGGATGCCCGCTGATAGAGGACACAAAGAATGCAGAATTTATGGGCCATCTGGCAAGATAAGGAAGAAACTAATAAACCAAACTTAGCAACTGTGCTGAAGTGATCTCCAACTGGGTAAAACGTAATTTTATGTTTTACATCTGCAGGGGCAGGTCATGACCACCAACCCACAGACCACTGACCCAAAAGGAGAGAAAGACTGAGAACAGCACTAATTAGCATGAGAAACAACAGAATAATTAACCAACAGAAGATAGAATACTAATTCAGAACTACATGACTTGTAGCCAAGGCACACTAATTCCTTTGTTTGCTAAAATGTGTAAATAGTAATAAATTTTGATCGCTGGTGTGCTCAATTTGTGGAATCCCACAGGGCCCCAGACGTGCAACACTGAAATAAATGACCAGCGTCTCTCTGGAGTGTGTAACTATTGTTGCACATGCAGTAATTAATGCAATTTTTGTGGAGAGCACTGTTGCACACAGCCCTGCTGAGCCCCAGGAGTTTTCACCAGGCTGTTTGCACAGGACCAGCCCTTTCCATTCAAGCTGTTTGTGTGATGAAAACAACACTGCTGGTGGGTGGAGAGATTATTTCTTACCACGCTCATGTGTGACTCACATAAAGGTGGATAAAAGGCACATCTGACCCCACAGTCACAGGGTTTGGTGAAGAGTTCAGTGAAAAGTATCTGCATTTTCATGTGAGGGATTTTCAGCAAACTCCTGCAGGGACAGAAAGACTTGGAGTCTGCCACCAGTGTATTTTCATCTTTATTTTTAATATTCATGAATGAAAACTGGTGGGAGGACATTGCTGTTCATATCTTGGCAATCTCTCACTAAGAAGTGCCTGAATTTTACAGGTTTTGAATGGCAGATGATTCAAGTTTGAATGGCAGATGAAGTTCGGTTATTAACACAGGAGATGTGCAGACATCTACACTTCCAAAAGAAAGGAATTTATGTGGTTGTATGTTCAGGATCTGTGTGCAGGACTCAACAGAGAAGGGATGGGGATCTCTGACCAGGTTTTTTGCATTTTAATATTTACAGTTAACACTTTTCTGTATGCAAGCAGCAGGTCGAGCCGTTACCTTGTGCAATATAAACACAGATCTGCTCACACAAATCATTAAAAGAACCTAAAAATCAAGCCAAGAACGCACATCAGAGACTGGAATTGTGGTGGGAGTGCTTGGCACAGAGCAAAAAAGAAAAAAAATTTACAGACATTCTGAAAACAATTAATTTACCAAAGAGTGGACTTTGATGGATAGAAATCCATGCTGCCAGGATTACCTTGTCAGAGCTTGTCAGATTGGGAACCAAAACTTTGAACAAGATCCAAGTTTGATTATAAATACTCCAGTGGAGTCCTTCACAGAAAAATGCACTTGTTTTTGTGGAACAGTGAATCCAGAGCTGCCATCCCTGCCTGTTATGCCATCTAGGAATGCTAATTCCTTTGGGCCATGGGACACAGATCTCAGTCTGATCAAAATCCTTCAGGTTTGGCTGCTTCCCATAAGGACCTGCACTGAATATTCCACCCAAATCTGGGGTGTCTTGTGGCAGAAGGACATTGCCAGAAGGATGGGAAAGATTGGCACCATTGCTGGAGAAATGAAATCATTGCAGTTGTGAAGAAAGCCAGGTGAAGTGTTCTTTTAATTTTTTTAGACTTTTAGCCATTAGAATGATTTAGCATGAGTTGAAGTTCTAAATTAGGTTAGTGTGCTTTTAGTGTTAGTATCTCCAGCAATCATTTTATAACGGGTTGGAAATGAGTCATGAAGGATCTCTGCCTTGGTTTAGAAATAAACCTGAAGGGTCTTGCCTGTTCCATCCTCCGGTTTGCAGGCACAGCCTTTGCTCCTTGCAGACCTGCAGCAGCCTGTGAATTTCCTGCTGGAAAGCCACAGCGTGTGTTTGGTTTCAGGGTGTGTTTGCATCCCAGAGATGAGGGTGCTGACTTCTTGGGTGGCTTTTTGCAGCCCCAGTGCTTTAAAGCACCCTCCTCCTCCTCCCTGAGTTTTACCAGCCCCGATTTCTGTGCTGCTGATCTTATTTCTGTGTAACTCACATGGAATTTAATTCTGGCTGCAGGACGGTGCTTGGCATTGGAGCTGCCTGGGAAGCAGAGTGAGCACAATGATCCTTTATGCCAGCCAAACTCCCCCTGAGAGCAGCCTTAGCCCACAGTAAGAATACACTTCCCAAATTGCTTGTGTCACATTGGGTTGTTAATAAAACACAACCTCTCCCCTCACAAACTGCTCTTCTGGCATGGGGAGGTGGAGACCCAGCGTCTTCACTGGGGTAAAACCTCCCCATGGGGATTTTAAATGGCATTATCAGTCCAGCAGCTTTGTTCATGGAGGGCTTGCACCTAAAACAGTGACTGAAATGATGAAATGGGGCTGCTGGTACAATAACAGGATCTACCCAGCAGAGGAATGGTTCTGGGCACAGCTCCTGTGTGTTTTATACTTCATAGAGGCACAGGGTCTGAACAAAGTCTGGTTTACTTGAGCTTCACAGACTTGGGCCGTGACAAGACACTTGGAGTTCATTGCAAATTGGAAGAATGTTTAATTCTCTTTGCTCTTGTTGATTGTATTTCTGTGTAATTCAGTTTAAGAACAGCCATCCCTATTGTTAATGACTGGTGAGTGCTCCACAGCTTTTAAAATATTGCTGTTTCTGTTGCTGGGCCATGTGGTACAGATCAGCTCAACAAATGCCTGATTGTTCTCTGTTGGCCAGGTCCTAGAGAACGGGTTTGGTTAAACACCAACCTTCAGCAGAACTAGAGCTGAGTGTGCTCAGCCTGGGGGGAAGAAATCAAGGAGCATTTCTGTAGCTTTTGGCTGCTCCCAAGGATTATTGTGGTCAACTGGAACAATGTGATTTCTGTCCAGGTTGGGTTGTCTGGGAGGCAGATTTCTGCCACTCTGAGGACAGGGGGAAAACACAGTCCTGTAACAGGGGGAAGTGCTGTGAGAAAGGAGAGCAGAAACCATAATGATTTCCTGTACTGTTGTTCAGATAAAACAAAGATCACACCTTGTGGAAAGTGCACTTTATTTCAGGTATGTAAAGGTGTCACAGAGGAGGGGATCTGTCTTCAGACTTTCTTGCCTCTTCTGACAAGTGTTACTCCACCATATGTTATAGTCTGTGGGAGACAAATACACATTTTTGTAGCTAAGTGGCAGAAGTGTCTGTAATTCATGCATAAATCCATCCTAGTGCACAAGAAAATACAATCACAGCACCTGTCTGTAAATATATGTACAACATTTGCATGAAAGAAAATCTGGAGTTGGTTGTGCTCCTTGGAGCAGTCTTTATCCACAGGGACACTTTGTAGACACTATGAGCTAATCAACATTTTTTCCTTCATCATTTTTCTGCAAGTGCCTTTATTTTCACTTATTTGCACTTACCTCCACCATTTCATTTCCTTTAACTTCCTGCTCGTGAGAGAATTTATCTGATTTGCACACCAGCTTCCCGTTGACCAAGTTCACAGTGCACTGTTGGAACATTTAAAAAACGTTTTTTAAAAAATAGATTTTGGAATTCAATTCCAGTAAGTAGAGGATTAATAAATAGGAAATAAATTACACAGATGTTTCATAATGACAGCTGCTCATTTAAACTGGAGAGCACAGCATCTGAATAGGAGTTTTAGGAACATTTCTGTTTGTTAAAGTGATAGAAATATTTGCAAATGGAAACGGTACAAACAAATTCCACTCACACACAAGCTGAGGTTTAGGGATAAATAAAGATATGCTGTTCTTGGGATGCTTTACCTTCAGCTTCCTGCCATCCATGGTGGTGATGTCAGCCTCTTTGCCGATTGTAAACGAGTTGGTTACAGATTTGTTGGGTGTTTTGGATGTCACAACAAAGTCGTTGCCTTTTTGTTGTATTTCAACAACAGGCTTAATATCTTTGGCCATTTTGATGGTGTCATCTGGCAACCCTGCAAAAATAGGAAAAACAGGATTTTTGTTACAAAAATAGCAAATTCTTTTCTCCAACAAAGGCACAAAAGATCCAAACCAGTACTGGGAGGTGATGTTCGAGTTAAAAGACAATCCTGTTTTGGATTCCTCTCTTCCCTAGGGGTTTTTGGTTCTATTCCTTCTGGTCTGGTTAGGTTTTGGTGTGATATTTGGTGATGTCAGGTTATGCAGTTTCTTTTCCCAAGGGCTGGCCGCGGGGTGATGATGTTCCATGAACAGGACCACATGTGCATTGCTTTATTTTCCCAGGGAGATGGGACTTGGGGGATTATCTGTCCAGTCAGAGCTGGGACATTGGGAATAGCTCAAACTCCCTTTTTGGGTGTCCCTGGCGTGGTTTGAAGGTGTCATTGTCACCAGGAGAGGGATT